CAGTATGTGGAAAATAATGTGTTTTTTTTTACCTTAAACCGCATAAACACATTTCATTACACCAAATACACAAAATAATGTTCTTTTTAGCAACATCATATGACCCCTTTAACGATGATTTTACTATAAATCTAAAGACAATGTTTACTATTGTTAAACCAAATTAACCATGGTTTTTGCTACACTAACCATAGATTAGCCATGGAATTTGTAGTAAAAATAAATACAAATGGTAATCCATTTGCCAAAAAAAAAAAAAACATGATTACCATTGCTTTTATTTATTATTATTTTTAAATTAACAATTTTTTCCAAACCATTGTTAGATGCAGTGTTTCCTGTAGTTATGCAAATATGTCTTATCTATTAACTATTTCTTATGATTTAAAATCTGCATTGAACTCCAGATCAATCTCAAAGTAAAAGGCGGTACTAAAGTCTGATTTTGTGGCACCCCTATGAATGAATATATCCTGGCTACGCCCTGCAAATGTGTAAATGTTGTATTGCTTGAGGTTGCATCAACTTCATTGTGACTGAATTCTTCACCTTTGTCTTAGTTGTACTGTTTTTTTTCCACCTTTACATGCCTCTTGCATCATGTGATTGAGGAACCATTATTATTTCTGATTAGACATCTGTAAGCTAGTCAATACTTTATTTACAACAGTCATTCTGTCTTCTGTCAAGTTTGTTCTTCTGGTACATGGAAACCATTATGATTGTTCATAGATTATATAAAATATTCTGTGCTTACAGAATTTTAGAACAGTTTCCACTAGTGAACAATGTTTGATCTATGCATATTTCTCTCCTAATTCAGATGACATCACTTTTTCACTGCAGAAAGTCATGGTATGGATAGAGGACTTTTAATTTAGCTGGAAGCAACAGTTTGAAGTTAAATGCATCTTGATGATAGATTTGTTTCTTACAAACACAGCTTCACAAGAAATCATTTAATCATATCTTTAGTTTATTTTATGCCCGATGCATTGGGATGAAGGTACTCATATATGTATTTATCTAATCAGTCGTATCAACACAACTGAAAGGGTTAACTGCAAGTCCAACTCTTCCAGTGTCTCCTCCTCCTTCCACTTTTGCTTTTATAAAACTCACAGGTCGTTCGCTGCTCTTGTGTTTGTCTTGGAATGAATCTGTCATCATGTGGACGATTCTGATGAAGTTAGACCTGACCTCTGTATGCCTGGCTCTGTTTCTGGGTTTGATCTTTATGGTTCTGTTTGAGATCTTCAGGATTAATTCATGCAGAGGTCAAATTCCACCTGGTCCCAGACCTCTGCCTTTTGTGGGAACCATACCAAGTTTTAAGAAGCCACTTGAGGCTATAAGATCAGTAAGTATTTGCTGTGTTTCTGGTAGGGATTTAACATTTAATTCATACCTGTTTTGAAATTCAGATGCACTAAATTTGCTGTGGATCTTCTCCGAGCAGCTATCTCAGTATGGAGAAATGTCTGCTGTATATTTTGGGAGGAAACCAATGATAGTCCTTAATACAATCCAGGTCACTAAGGAAGCCTTCGTTCAGGAAGCCTTTTCTGGAAGACCATTTATGCCTCTTGTAGACTGGCTAACCAAGAGACTCGGTCAGTAAAACGTTATTTTGATTTTTAAAATGTGGATTTTAAACTATTTCATTCTAAACTTTAGAGTACACTTTTACAGCAAAAGGTTCCAAAAGGTGGTTTTCACAGTAGATTCCACTAAAGAACCTTTACATTTGAGTTATTCCGTTGAGAGCCAATGACACTATGTCCATTTGCTTAAAAAATGTGAAGACTGAATTTAGTTCTTAATCAGATTCGAGAAGGTCGGTTATAAAACGGATAGTTCCGGTCCTTGATTATGGTTGGTTGAGCTGCGTTGGATGCCATACACCTGTGACCTCGTTAAATCAGTATGCGCCACTGCATTTGTGTTGCTGCGCTTCCACATTTACATTTATTCATTTAGCAGACGGTTTTATCCAAAGCGACTTCTACGAGTATACTTTTTGTGCGCAAAGAAAACTAAAATAACGACTTTATTCAACAATCCCCCCGCCCCCCCATCTTCACCCATTTTGGAGTGTAGCACTACGCATGTGATCAACGTAATCATCAAAAATATCTTAATTTGTGTTCCGAAGATGAACGAAGGTCTTGCGTGTTTGGAACAACATGAGTAATTAATGACAGAATTTTCATTTTTGGGTGAACTAACCCTTTAATACATGTATTTACTCCGTCTTGCGTTGTGCCTAACAATTAGCTGTTCTAAATTCACTGTAAACCACGGCTTAATGCTTTATTCTCTTTTTCTCAGGCATAATAATGGCCCCGTTTGGTCACTCTTGGAGGCAGCAGAGACGCTTTGCTCTGCACACGCTCAGGAATTTTGGCCTGGGGAAGAAATCAGTAGAAGATCGTGTGTTAGAGGAAAGCCGCTATCTCATTGCTGAAATGCTCAAAGCAGAAGGTATGAAATGTTTATGCTCTATTTGAACTCATTCCACAGTGTTGGGCTGCGAACAAGCTCATCTGTGTTTTCAAAGGTCAAACAGCATCTAAGTCTTTCTGAAACACTTGTTATATTTGTGACATTAATAATGTTGACTTTTACTTTTTACAGTTATTTTCAATATTAAAATCCAAAATTCTATTCTAATTGGATTGAATATAAACTGGCACTAGCCTTTTTCACACATATTGATGCATGTTTCTTTGTAGGCAAGTCTATGGACCCACAGCATGCCATACACAATGCAGTTTCTAACATCATCTGTTCCATCGTGTTTGGAGAGCGCTTCGACTACGATAACAAGCGCTTCTCATACCTTCTGAAAATCCTGAATAATCACTTCATGCTCACAGGGTCAGCTGCGGGACAGGTATGATCAAATTCTTCATTTTATATTTTATTTTATTCATTTATTTGTTATTGACCATGGTCACCCTGTGTGAAAATAATTATTTGCAGAATTTTAATATCAGTTAGGTGGTGAGTCATGTGACCCATAGTGATTACAAACAAGTAATGGGAATGATACATTAAGTTCCATATTTTCCTCAATGATCTTATAATAGTTTGTCTATCTTAGATTTTCAACTTAGCCCCCTTCATCAAGCATTTCCCTGGGCCACACCAGAAGATCATGCAGAACTTCACTGAGTTATTGGGTTTCATCCGGGACGAAATAAAAGAACACAAGGAAACTCTGGATCCAGACAGCCCTCGAGACTTCATTGATGCCTACCTGCTGGAGATCGAGAAAGTGAGATCACCGTTAATGAAAGAAGTGTTTTCATTTATTCATGTAGCTTCAGTAAACTGATAGATTTGTTTCATCTGGAGCAGCAAAAGTCTAATGAGGGCTCCACGTTTCATGAGGATAACATGGTAATGTCAGTACTTGACCTGTTTCTGGCTGGAACTGACACAACAGCGACCACCATCAGATGGGGCCTCATCTACTTGATTCAAAACCCAGATGTACAAGGTGTTAAAGCTAAACGCTAGCAGTGGACACATTTTTTCCAATGTTTTTCCCAATGTTTCCAAATTAAATTCATTTAATATTTAAAACAGTAAATCAGTTATGTGACACTATTGTTTTGTTGAAGTGCAAGCGCCACTGTTTCCTTCAGGAAATGCAAATCTACTTCCCTTTTTTTGCACAATGCAGAGCGATGTCATGAGGAGATTGTTCGGGTGCTGGGTTTCGACCGTTTGCCCAGCATGGATGACCGTGACAAACTACCGTACACATACGCCACTGTTCACGAGATTCAGCGCTGTGCCAACATTGTACCTCTTGGAGTGATTCATGAAACGACTCAGCCCACAAAACTACGAGGCTACAACTTTCCCAAGGTAATGAATGGAGCGTAAATAAAAAGAAGTGAAGTGATGTGTGGCCAAGTATGGTGACCCATACTTGGAATGTGTGCTCTGCATTTAACCCATCCAAGTGCACACACACACCCTGAACAGTGTGCAGCCATATTGCTGTGGTGCCCGAGGAGCAGTTGGGGGTTCAGTGCCTTGCTCAAGGGCCTCACCACAGGTCGTGGTATTGAAGGTGGAAGAGAGCGCTGTATATTCACTCCCCCCACCGACAATTCCTGCCGGACCTGAGACTCGAACGTGCAACCTTCGTGATACAAGTCCGACTCTCTAACCATTAGGCCACAACTGCCCCTGATGAATGAATCATTCACTGTAAAATTTAACATTCGCACTTTCGTTTTTTCTTTAGCAATATGTTATGAACAACTCGTTCTTTTTATTCAGATATTTTCAATGAATAGGTTGATCCAGAAAAACCTGTTTAAACAAGTTGTTGATGAACAGCATGACTTGAGGGTGTGTATAAAGAATATCAGAAATATCATCAGATATCAGAAGTCATAAAACACTTTTTTTTTTAAATATAAAAAGTAGATTAATCTAAGAATAAAAAAATTAGATTAAGAGATTATATTTTTTTATCCCAACAAACCAAAACAAATCAACCTTACTTGTCCAGTCACCTAAATTAATTGTATAAATGTGAAAATTATGTAAGAAGCTTAATTAGTGATGAAACGGTTACGGTTTGACGATAAATCATTGCCGTTTCATATTTTATCCTTAAAACCATAGGCTATTTGATTATTACGATTTGAAAAACTTGCAGTAAATACTGCTCAGCATTAGGCAAAGTTATTAAAAGTCTCATGCAGATGCAACATGCAGCGTGGGTTTCATTTTCTATGAAGGCAGAGTGCTAAGAGAAATTATATGAAAGAATGTATGAATTAATAAATTCTATGACTGCATATGGGGGAACCGAATATCTTCAGAAAAGTTTTGATGGCATTTGTTTTTTATCTTCGCTCAATGTAATACCTAATAAAATAGTGTTTGTAAGCGGCAATGCTGCTTTGTTTACAGCTGTTACTGGGGAAACGGCTCTATTTCTGCTGATCCATAAGCGCCACCTGCTGTCAGACAGTGGATTTACATTTTAATTCAGCCTGTCTGCCATTTTTGTTTAGAACAATGTGAAAATGGGACCTATTTATTTATTTTTTATTATTTATTATTTTACTTTTTTTTTTTTTTTTTAAATCTTAACGTGTAGATGGAAAACAAGCGAATGTGCATTCTAAAAATCTCAGCACTGCAGATAAAGATAAGGAAGCCTATGTAGAATCGTTATGTAGCAGATAAAATGCCTATAATCAATTTTTTTGATTAATCTATTTCTTAATGATTTAAAAACTTAAATATGAGGTTTATCATTTAAATTTTTTTTGTCAGAACTTTATTTGAACATGTAGTAAAGTAGATAACATGTGATGTTGTAAGTCACCCAGGCCATTGCTTTTAATGTTATTTATTTTATGCAAACAAAAAGTAAATAGTGCTGCTAATTATATTTGTTGTTTTTCAACATAAAACTTGGTGAAATGATTTCATTGTGTGTATGAGTACTTTTTGAACATTTCCAGGACATTTTAACAATACCATGATGATAATATCAATAACCGTGATCATTTTGGTCACTATAATCGTGATATGAAATTTTCATACCGTTTCATCACTAACGTTACTACAGGGTTTACAAATGTACACTGTGGAGTCTGAAAACCTGATCATCTGAAATGAATTAATAATCCAGTTCAAGTATGACTGATTACAGTATGAAATTGTCAGAAATTTGTTTTGCAAAAATTGTACCTTTAGGGGTACAACAGCTTGTCACTGGGGCAGAACCATCAAAGGGACATGCTGTGTACCTTCATTACCCCTAAAGTTTTACTTTTGTGCCCTTTGTGTACTATTTTGAACCCTTTAGGGGTAAAGAAGGTACAAAGGTGTCCCTTTGAGGGTTCTGCCCCTGAGTATAGGTTATGTGTTTAATTTTTGAAAAGTTTAATTCAACTCTGCTAAACTTTCCTCATACAGGGAACTATGATCATGACAAACTTAGCGGCAATTTTCAGTGATAAGGAGCACTGGAAGCATCCAGACGCCTTTAACCCGGAGAATTTCTTGGATGAAAATGGGAACTTCTTCAAACCAGAGTCTTTCATCGCCTTCTCACTGGGTGAGTCAGCTGTTTGTGAAATTAATAAGCAGATTTAACCATTAGGAAAAGTTACTGTAATGATTTGTGTGTTTGTTATTAGGTCCGAGGGTCTGTCTCGGGGAGACTCTGGCGAGGACGGAGCTCTTCTTGTACATCACGTCTCTCCTACAGCAGATTCAATTCTCCTGGCCACCCGAGCCACAGTCCATAGACATGGATGGGATCATGGGTGTTTTTCACTTTCCTCAGAGTTTCAGCATCATCTGCCGCAGCAGAGATACCAAAGAGTGACCATCAGTAACTCAAACTATATCTCACAGACATCATCATATCATTTCTGTAAAAAAATCATGCATTTCCAGTTTTTCACTTGACATTAATGTATGTTAACAGTTTCGAATATTTAAGCACAGCCATATTTTATGTAATCAAAAATTAAATGTAAATTTTACAGTCGTTTGGCATGTTTATTATAATTATTTTATAATAAATGCATGTATTTTATTGTATAATAGTGTATGTACATGCAGTTTTATGTGATTGGAATAGCAAACAGTCAAACAGTTAATTTTTTTTCAGATTCCTTTGAAATCTAAAGTAAGCATTTTTTCCCCCAGTAACAGTGAACATTAATGAGTAAATTTAGAGTCAAACTAAGCACCAGAGCACATCATACAGTAGTGGGTTTATAATGTAAAATCTCACATGTGCATTTATGTTCGTTTTGTAGATGTAGATGAGTTGATTTCTTTATCAGAACATATTTTGAGAAATTCCATCACTTACTCACCAATGGATCCTCTGCAGTGAATAGGTGCCGTCAGAATGAGAGTCCAAACAGCTGATAAAAACATCACTCATTTTGAGGAAGAAGTCAGAACTGTTTAGATAACGTTTAGATCCTGACTTTATTTCTCGCAAAGAGTTTATATTTCACATTTCTAAGTTTACATCTTGCAGGTATCTCACAATTCTGACGTTCTCACAATTTTTGAGATTATATCTCATAATTCCAAGATTGTATGCTGCAATCCTGACATTTTAAGAATTCCGAATTTACATTAAAATTCTGAACTTCATTTCTCACAATAAAAACTTTTATATCTTGCAATTCTGAATTTATTATCGTAATTGCAAGTTTATATCTCGTACATATCACTATTTCTCACAATTCTCAGAATTTAATTTGAGACAAACTCGCAATTCTGACGTTTTTTCTTTCACTTGCGAGTTTAATTTTTTGACGAAAGAATTGGTGTAATTGCGAGATATAAACTCTTCCCAATTCGGACTTTTTTTCTCTCAGATATCTGAGAAATGAGAAATAACTGCCGTAGAATTATGAGATATAAACTCATAATTGTGTCATTCAAAAAGTTACCAAAATTCCTTTTATTCTGTGCTGGAAACTGGCTTCCATAAAAAAAAAAAAGAGCATTAGAAGTGCTCTGGATCGTTGGTCAAAACGTCTCAGGTTACTTATGTAACCATGGTTCCCTGAGTAGGGAACGAGACACTGCGTCCTCCTAAGGACAATTCAGATGTAAAATACTACGTTCAAGCTCTGGCAAGTGTGTACACAACTCAAATTGGCTGCAGTGTTACCAAAGCCTACCTTGATGAAATAAAGAAGTTAGCGAAACTGAGTGGACGAGGCTTCGAAGCGGTGCTGAAAGACATGATGTCAGAGATCAGTGAGACAATCGAGACTGATGGCAGTGGTGACAATGAGTTTGGAGCCAGACAGCTCAACACGTCTCTTGACACATTTGAACCCCCACACCCCCAGCTGCTCCCAGATTCTTCTCGGGAAAGGTTCATTCATAGTGGTGCTGAGCCATGCCCACCAGCTGATGTGAAGCGAAGTCTGTCCGTTGTGGAGAGCGACCTGAATCCACCTGAAATCCAAAAGGTCATTGTTGAGCACATTGTGAGGAGAGATGAATTAAAAACACATTCATACTTTCCCATCAAGCTTCGTTCATTCTCAGGCAAGCTCCCCAGACTACGACACATGGCATTCACATGTTGAGCTTCTCAGGAAAGACCCCACCCTGTCTAATCTTCAGAAATCACAGAAAATCTTTGAAAGTTTGCTCTCCCCTGCAGCGGATATTGTCAA